GTCTCTCACCCTCATTCAGCTCGGGTCGTCTACCAGAGGCCTGGGAGCTTGACAGTTCTGCGCAGTATCTTTGCTGTTCCCAGTACTGCACTTTTCTGGACTGAGATGTTCCATTGTTTTTTCCTGGTATCTGTTGAAGCCTCTTCCAGTTTGGGGGTTACAGCCCGAGTGTCCGATCACCACAGGCACCACTGATGCCTTTACTTTCCAGACTCTCTCCAGCTCTTCCTTGAGCCCCTGGTATTTCTCTAGCTTCTTCGTGTTCCTTTTTCCTGATATTACCATCGCTTGGTATTGTGATGTCAACCACCACGGCTCTGCTCTGTTTCTTATCCACCACCACTATGTCTGGTTGGTTCGCCATCACCATATATATATATATATATATATATATATATATATATATATATATATATATAGCTATCGATGCGGTTGTGGAAAACCACCCTTGAAGCCAATGGGAAGCCACTTGCACAAGTTTCCATCAAATGTGGCATATACCAAGGAGACTCACTGTACCCACTACTGTTCTGCATCTGAACCCCCTCAGCCAAATGATCGACGGCACTGGCTATGGATGCGACTCAGAAATGGAGCCACCATCAGTCACCTCCTCTACATGGACGACATCGACTCACTGATCCACACCACCAGGATCTACAGTACAGACATTGGGATGTAATTCAAGCTTGAGAAATGTAGCAGGATGGTGACAAAGAGAGGGAAGGTAGAACACACAGAGGGGGTCTCACTCCCAGAGGGAACAATAGCAGACGTTGAGGACAGTTACAAGTACCTTGGTATCCCACAAGCAAATGGCTCCTCGAAGAGGCAACAAGGAAAGCGGCTATGGCCAAATACCTGCAAAGAGTGAGGCAAGTCCTTAGAAGCAGCTCAATGGAAGAACAAGGCCCAGGCAATCAACAGCTCTGCCCTGTCAGTGATCAGATCCCAGCAGGAATCATGCACTGACCAAAGGAGGAGATACAGACCACAGATATTAAGACACGACCATGTGGAGGGTTCATCCTAAATCCAGCACCCTGAGACTATATGCAAGCCGGAAGGAAGGAGGCCAAGGACTAGTGAGTGTGTCCACTGTCCAGGATGAAACATCCAGGCTCCTTGAGAACATTAAGGACAAGGCCCCGGCAGATGAAGTGCTCAGAAAATGTCTCATACAGTGGGGTCCAGAGGAAGAGGTGCTGGAGGGACCATTATGGCAGGACAAACCCCAAACACGTGTAAGATGCTGCAGGGAAACAAACATGGAGCAACATAACCAAGTGGCGGGCAGAGTGTACAGAAACATCTGTGCAGAGTACGGGCTGGAGACCCCAAGGTCAAGGTGGGAAACACCTCCAAAGGTTGTGGAGAACAACTGAGCCAAGATCCTGTGGGACTTCCAGATACAGACTAACAGGATGGAGATGGACCAACCAGACATAGTGGTGGTGGAGAAGAAACAGAGCAGAGCCGTGGTGGTGGAACATCACAACACCAAGAGATGGTAATATCAGGAAAAAGGAACACAAGAAACTAGAGAAACACCAGGGGCTCAAGGAGAAGCTGGAGAAGGTCTGGAAAGTAAAGGCATCAGTGGAGCCTGTGGTGATCGGACACTCGGGGCTGTATCCCCCAAACTGGAAGAGACACAACAGATACCAGGAAAAACAACGGAACATCTCAGCCCAGAAAAGTGCAAAATAGGAACAGCGAAGATACTGAAGAACTCTCAGGTAAAATAATAAATAAATATATATATGTGTGTGTGTGTATATTATGAACAGGATTTTTTCCCATCCATCCATTTTCTTCCGCTTATCCGGGGCTGGGTCACGGGGGCATCAGTCTAAGCAGGGACTCCCAGACTTCCTTCACCTCAGACATGTCCTCCAGCTCCTCCGGGGGGACCCCGAGGTGTTCCCAGTCCAGCTGAGAGACATAGTCCCTCCAGTGTGTCCTGGGTCTTCCCCGGGGCCTCCTCCCGGCGGGACATGCCCTGAACACCTCCTGAGGGAGGCATCCAGGAGGCATCCGGAACAGATGCCCGAGCCTCAACTGGCTCCTCTCGACGTGGAGGAGCAGCGGCTCTACTCTGAGCTCCTCCTGTGTGACTGAGCTCCTCACTCTGTCTCTAAGGGAGCACCCAGCCACCCTGCGGAGGAAACTCATTTCGAACGCTTGTATCCGCGATCTCGTCCTTTTGGTCACTACCCAGAGCTCATGACCAGAGGTGAGAGTAGGAACGAAGACTGACCGGTAAATCGAGAGCTTTGCCTTTCAGCTCAGCTCCTCTTCACCACAACGGTCCGATACAGCGACCGCATCACTGCAGATGCTGCACCTGTCCACCTGTCAATCTCACGCTCCATCCTCCCCTCACTCGTGAACAAGACTCCGAGATACTTGAACTCCTCCACTTGAGGCAGGGACTCCCCACCCACCCGGAGAGGACAAGCCACCTTTTTCCGGTCGAGAACCACGACCTCAGACTTGAAAGAGCTGATCTTCATCCCAGCAGCTTCACACTCGGCTGCAAACCGCCCCAGTGCTGCAGGTCCTGGTTCGATGAAGCCAACAGAACAACATCATCTGCATCAACAGCAGAGATGATCCTGTGGTCCCCAAACCGGACCCTCTGACCCCGACTGCGCATAGAAATTCTGTCCATAAACACAATGAACAGAACCGGTGACAGGGGCGGCCCTGGCGGAGTCCAACATGCACCGGGAACAGGTCTGACTTACTGCTGGCAATGAACACAGCTCCTGCTCCGGTCATACAGGGACCGGACCCCATACTCCCAGAGCACCCCCCACAGGACACCACGAGGGACACGGTCATATGCCTTCTCCAGATCCACAAAGCACATATGGACTGGTTGGGCAAACTCCCATGAACCCTCGAGCACCGATGGAGAGTGTAGAGCTGGTCCAGTGTTCCACGGCCAGGACGAAAACCACACTGCTCCTCCTGGATCCGAGGTTTGACTATCGGCCAGATTCTCCTCTCCAGTACCCTGGCATAGACCTTACCGGGAAGGCTGAGGAGTGTGATTCCCCTGTAGTTGGAACACACCCTCCGGTCCCCCTTCTTATACAGAGGGACCACCACCCCGGTTTGCCAGTCCAGAGGTACTGTCCCCGACCACCACGCGATGTTGAAGAGGCGTGTCAGCCAAGACCCACAACATCCAGAGACTTCAGGTACTCAGGACGGATCTCATCCAACCCCGGAGTCTTGCCACCAAGGAGCTTGCCAACCACCTCAGTGACTTCGGCCAGGGTGATGGATGAGTCCGCCTCCGAGTCCCCAGCCTCGGCCTCCTCCTCGGAAGACGTGACGGTGGGATTGAGGAGATCCTCAAAGTATTCCTTCCACCGCCGGACAACGTCCCTAGTCGAGGTCAGCAGCTCTCCCCCCGCACTGTAAACAGTGTTGGTGAAGAACTGCTTCCCCCTCCTGAGGCGCCGGACGGTTTGCCAGAATTTCTTCGAGGCCGTCCGATAGTCCTTCTCCATGGCCTCCCCGAACTCCTCCCAGCTCCGAGTTTTTGCCTCTGCAACCACACGGGCTGCAGCACGCCTGGCCCGCCGGTACCCGTCAGCTGCTTCAGGAGTCCCCCGAGCCAGCAAGGCCCGATAGGACTCCTTCTTCAGCTTGACAGCATCCCTTACTTCCGGTGTCCACCACCGGGTTCGGGAATTGCCACCGCGACAGGCACCACAGACCTTACGCCCACAGCTTTGAGCGACTGCATTGACAATAGAGGCCGAGAACAGAGCCCACTCCACTTCCGACTTCCTCCTCCGCCAGCGAACCCAACTCACCACCAGGTGGTGATCAGTTGACAGCTCAGCCCCTCTCTTCACCCAAGTGTCCAAGACACGTGGCCAGAGGTCAGATGACACGACTACAAAGTCGATCATCGACCTCCGGCCTAGGGTGTCCTGGTGCCACGTGCACTTATGGACACCCTTGTGCTCGAACATGGTGTTTGTTATGGACAAACTGTGACTAGCACAGAAGTCCAATAACAAAACACCGCTCGGGTTCAGATCGGGGAGGCCGTTCCTCCCAATCACCCCTCTCCAAGTGTCACTGTCGTTGCCCACGTCGGCGTTGAAGTCCCCCAGGAGAACAACGGAGTCCCCGGACGGTGCACTGTCTAGTACCTCTCCCAGGTACTCCATGAAGGTCGGTACTCGAGTACTCTGCACTGCTGTTCGGCCCGTAGGCCGACACCACAATGAGAGATCTGTCCCCGAAACGAAGGCGCAGGGACGCGACCCTCTCGTTCACCAGGTCTATGGTTGTATGAAAGTGATGATGATGATGATGATGAATAGAAAATGTCTAATTAAAACGTTTCATAATCATATTGTGTCTAAATGTGTTTGTGACATTCAACATACACATTTTATGTGAACTACTTTTAAACTCTTTGAGTTTTCTGACCAACTGTGTGTGATGTTTATAGTTTGTTCTACCACATTGTTGATGTATTTAAACAGGAAAATAAAAAATAAAAAACATGTTTTTGGTGGAACATGGAGGATTAAATGTGAATATTATAATGAAATTGCAAGAAAACAACTAAACCGGGTCATTTTTTAACCACTTATGATTCTATGTCAATGTCAATGTCAATGTCAACTTTATTTGTATAGCACATTTACAACAACACAAGCTGCCCAAAGTGCTTCACATGCACAATAAAGATAGTAAAATACAGCACAATAATAATAATTCTAAGGGTTCATGTGTGTCTTACAGGTTTGTAACTCGCACCATTTGATTCTCTGACCCTGAAAATGTGGGTTTAGCATTAAAATCAACATTTCAACTTATTCAGGCTGAGATATTTCAGAAAAAGTTTTTTGGCAGACATTTTTTTTAAAATTCATATGGCTACCATATAGACATCTAAGCAAATGCAAACATTGATTTTCTGACCCACACACAATAACCTTTCCAAAAATATAAAGTGAACTGGACTATAAGATTAGACTTTTACCTGAACACTTGACCTGAAGACCCCAGCTAGAAGGAATGGGGAACCTCTCAATGATGCATCCACTCACTGAAGACTTCTTCACACAGTCAGATTTCACCCTCCACACACGACTCTGTGGAAAACCAAGTGTGCGTTCTCCATAAACAGCAGAGCCACAGTCCAGGTCTCTGCACACAACAGCTATGTCCTCCTGGAGCAAGGATTCATAGAACTCATCCACTCGTCTCCACTCTCCTCTGTGTTTCACCTCCACAGTCCCAGCACAGCGACTGGATCCTCCCACCAACCTGATCGGCTCTGAACAGACAAGAGACAGAGTGAAGCCCCGCCCCTTTACCTGAGCAGTGAAGCCCCGCCCCTTTACCTGAGCAGGTGAGGTTGACAGTGGCTCCAGAGGAGCAGGTGCTTGAGTTGGAGCGGGGACAGTCCATCAGAGCAGACTCATGTCCCTCACAGTGGAACGTCTGCCCCAGAGGAGAGAGCGCCCCCTGGAGGAGAGAAGGAGCCCCACAGCCCAGCTCCCTGCACAGCACCTCTGCCCCCCGCTGGTCCAAGTCCCCGTCACAGACCCCGGTCCAGGACCCGTCCCAGATCTGCACTGATCCTGAACACAGACCGGACCCCGAGACCAACCGCACCGACTCTGTGGACACACATGTGACATCATCACTCTGAACCAATAGGACGCACACATGTGTGACATCATCACTCTGAACCAATAGGACGCACACATGTGTGACATCATCACTCTGAACCAATAGGACGCACACATGTGTGACATCATCACTCTGAACCAATAGGACGCACACATGTGTGACATCATCACTCTGAACCAATACATGCATCACAAATTTGGGACTTCTGGTCATCGCACAATTCACACTGGGAAGGATTTTCTGAAAAAGTGATCGTCAAACCTCCATGTTTGTTTTCCCAGTGGGACGTGTCTATTGTCAAAGTCGATCTTTTCAAGTCTTTTGAACCATTTTACTTTTGTTTCTGGTTCTGATATTGTCATATTTTAGTTTTGGGATTGGGACATCGTAATTGTTGTGGTTGTTGGATCCAAACGGCGATGGGCAGGATTGAACGAACATTTTGTATGTGAAGCGCCTACAAAGGGATTTTGTTTTGTCGTGGCTCCACATACAAAATGTTCTCTGTAAACTCGGGATGATTTCTTAGTCAGACAAATGTTTCCTTTTTGGTTCTTCCTGTGGATCAATCCTGCCCATCACCTTCACCTTTCACTATTTTTCAATTCTGTTGAGAAGAGAAACAGTTTGAACAGAGGTTTGAGTCACACACATCTGATTCACTTTTGCATTTATGAAGTTCACAAACAAATTTCTCGAGTCGTTTTCCGCTGTTTGGATCCAACAACCACAACAATTACGATGTCCCAATCCCAAAACTAAAATATGACAATATCAGAACCAGAAACAAAAGTGAAATGGTTCAAAAGACTTGAAAAGATCGACTTTGACAATAGACGCTGTAGTGTTACTACTTGGCCTGACGCCAGGGCATCAAAATATGTAGTGAATCTACATGGGCTCACATGGAGGTACCATTAGATGTTGGGGGTAATTGATTTTACAGATTGGAATTTAGGAGTTCTAAGTTAAAGCAGCACTCACAGAGGCCACGTGAGCTCTGACTAGAAGTAAATTTGGGGCACCACTTTAACAAACGTTGAGAAATATTACCAATACAATAAAATCAATGACCTACGTTATTTAATTAATTAATTAACTAATTAATTATTAATTAATTGTTACTTAAACAATTGATCTAAAAGTTTGTAAATTCTTGTCCATATCAGTATCTGGAAATAACATCACTATTCACCAAAGCAAACAGTGGTTTATGAATATTTACTGACCAAGTTAAACAGAAACATTTCATGATCAAATATGTAAATGAGTGCAGGTCGCTCTAAACTGGGCTCTAGACACCTGAGATTAGACACAACTTTAAGGTTTATCTAAACTTCTGTGTTGAGTCTAAATTGATAAATCAAGCCATTCTGTGACAGTGCACATACAACCCGGGGAGCGCGGACATGTCCAGTCACCATGTGCTCCTCACACGTCCAATGAAGGTTTGAGTTTCTCAGGAAAAAATTGAAGGCAATGAAACGGACGAAGGCCACGTGATCTGACCAATGTTCCAGGTTCAGTCGGTGTCAGGCTGAAGGACACTGTCCTCTGTTCCAGAGGATCAGACGACACGCTTCAGTGTCCACGAGGTCTGAACACCGCTGCTCACAGATTAAATCTAATCAATCAATAAAACTATTGTCTGCAAAAATACGAATAGTTGAATTTGCAAAAATATATGAAAGTTTCACTTTCAAATCAGATCAGCTACAGGTATTCAAATAAAAACATGTCAAGCGACGGGCACAGCTTTGAACGGAGGGAGAACTTGGGCGTTGTCCCTCCTGTTCGGCTCGACTACATCTTGAACATTCTGAGCTGAACTGTTTCTGCGATCTTCTTTTCTTGAACTGAGATCTGATGAACTGAGATCTGATCTGGGCTGGGGTCTGTCTTTCTCCTCTTAAGTCTTGAGTTGAGTGAGAAAGACTGACCAGTGGAGTGTGTTGTGTGGGGCTTTGTGAGGAATGTGAGTTTGTGTGGGGAGTGTTATGACACAGCTCTCATATTACACACTATGAACATGAACAGTTTTAAACAAATAAAATGTTCACATGACATTTACAAATCAGTATTAAAACACACTGGCCATAGTTGGTCAAATGAATCGACTGTTTCATTCCTTTTCTTTCTCTGGAGAAAGTCCATTGGCTTGAGATTTAGAGATTGTTCCATCAAAATCCCAGAGTGTCTTTTATTTGTCGATTATAGTCGGTGAACTCACTTCAGTCAGTTGGTTTATCAATAGGTGAAGCTTTATAGAAACAAATCTTTAATCTTTAAAGTTCTTTGTGTGGTACATCCTGCAGGGAATGTCTCTGCAGAACACAAGACGATACATCTTGATTTGACAGGTCTAAGATCAGGAGGTTCAGACAAATGGGGGAAGAGTGTCCCAAAGTTAACCCCTGTCAGAGGCGTTGTCCAAACTGGTGCAAGTCTATTTCTTAAGATTCAGTGTCATGGTTACAGCCATGATTTCACATCTTCCATGGGTCAAAGGTCAGTACCCTTACAACGCATCCCACTGGGAAATCAAACATGGAGCTTTGATGCTCACTTTTTTGGAGGATCCTTCCCAGTGTGGATTGTGCGATGACCGGAAGTCAGAAATTCATGATGTACAGGACGCACACATGTGTGACATCACCACTGTGGTGCAGATTTATATCTGGGGTAAATATATAAATTACTGTTGTGAGGTGTGTGTGTGTGTGTGTGTGTTACACTCCTCTAGAGCAACTAGTAAAAACATAAACATGTAAAATCAGACTTTTACCTGAACACTTCACCTCCAGACCCTTTACCTGAGCAGTGAAGCCCCGCCCCTTTACCTGAGCAAACCCTCTCCTCTCAGTGAGCAGGTTGTGGGTTTGACTCCTGGTCTGTGTGAGTGTGTTGCTTCTTACCTGCTGAGCTGTTGTTTTCTGCCTGGACCCCTGCACACAGGACCCCTGCACACAGGACCCCTGCACACAGGACCCGTGCACACAGGACCCCTGCACACAGAGTTCATGTTACAAAATGGCGTCTGTTGGTCACATGACTCAGAGCTGTGCACAAACAACAAGGATAAACCCAATATCATCAAAAATATCACCAATCTAATATTGTTTATTATGGTAAATGGTAAATGGTCAAATTTTTCTATAGCGCTTTTCCACCTTCAAGGCTCAAAGCGCTTTACAACAAGGAACCACTCACCCATTCACACGCACATTCACACACCAGTGTACGCAGACACTGTGGGCAAGGTGGGTTAAGTGTCTTGCCCAAGGACACAACAGGAGCATTCATCTGTGGGAGCTGGAATCACACCAGCCAACCTGTGGGTCAGTGGATCTGACCGTTCAACCTGTGATGTTTATGTCGAGAGCTGGAATCAAACCGCCAACCTTCAGATCAGTGGGCGAATGCTCTACCAACTGATCTACTGCCGACCATATTTGACTTTTGGTCATAAAACCTGACTGAGTTTCCTCGATAATTAAGTTCAAAACCATTTTCATCCTTTTAGCAAAAACTGTAGCAAATATGTTATAGTCATTATTTCATAAAGATATTGGAGGTTAATTATGGATGAGCGCTGTGTCTTTGTTAGATTTGGGCGTCACAGGAGTCAGACTTTGGCTCGTCGTTGTCGGGACTTGTTCTTTTTTCATACTTTCTACAAAGACTTCAGATAAGAAAGGAGCCAATTTATTTGAGAAAAAGTTGTACAGTTCCAATACCAATCCACCTGTACCAGGCCACTTATTATTTTTGAAAGAACTGATTTCATTTTTAATCTCACCAATTGTAAGAAAATCATCAAAAAATTTTAGTTGTTCACTAACAGCTGAAACTGTTCAAGAGTCTGAAAAGGTCTGAGCTGAGTCTGACAAAAAGTAGAAGTGAGGACAGGAGGAGAGGTGAGGACAGGAGGAGAAGTGAGGACAGGAGGAGAAGTGAGGACAGGAGGAGAAGTGAGGACAGGAGGAGTGAGGACAGGAGGAGTGAGGACAGGAGGAGAAGTGAGGACAGGAGGAGAAGTGAGGACAAGAGGAGTGAGGACAGGAGGAGTGAGGACAGGAGGAGAAGTGAGGACCTGAGGAGAAGTGATGACAAGAGGAGAAGTGAGGACAGGAGGAGAAGTGAGGACAGGAGGAGAAGTGAGGACAGGAGGAGAAGTGAGGACAGAGGAGAAGTGAGGACAGGAGGAGAAGTGAGGACAAGAGGAGAAGTGAGGACAGGAGGAGGAGTGAGGACAGGCAGAGTGAGGACAGGAGGAAGTGTGATGACAGGAGGAGAAGTGAGGACAAGAGGAGAAGTGAGGACAAGAGGAAAAGTGAGGACAGGAGGAGAAGTGAGGACAGGAGAAGAAGTGATGACAAGAGGAGAAGTGAGGACAGGAGGAGAAGTGAGGACAGGAGGAGAAGTGAGGACAAGAGGAGAAGTGAGGACGGGAGGAGAAGTGAGGACAAGAGGAGAAGTGAGGACATGAGGAGAAGTGAGGACAGGAGACGAGAGGCTGCAAAACTGTTACTGTCCACAGTCCTGACTGAAGGTAAGTTCATATTCTCCATATAGTTTGGAGAGGACTTGTGTTTACCTCCTATGAGTGACATGAGCACACACACACTCACACACACACACACACACACACTCACACACACACACACACACGCACACACACACACACACACACACACACACACACACTCAGGGCTCATATAGTTTAGTCCGTGTCGTGTCTGGACGGTTCGATTGTTCTCACACTGGACAAACGTTGGGCTCTTTAGGGCCGATCCTTGGGCACAGTTCTAAAGTCCTAGTGTGAGAGCAGCTTAGAAGCGTCAGGGCCGTGTGCAGTCGACTCTACCAACACTTTATAATGTTTATCACAAAATATCTACTCAATATTCTGTTGGACTGTAAGTTTCTGGACAGTTCGGGCTGGATTTGGGATTCAGAACATCTTAGATTTTGGGACTGTCCCGAA